AAGTTATGTTTGTTGTATTACAAGATAGTGAAGGTACCGACTATTTTAGAGCAGTTTGTTACTCTATTTTGAATTTATCGGTTTTAGGATGTTTTTTTGGACTGTTTATTGTTCTAGATCATATCATACTAGATCAGATCAGACCAGATCAGACCAGATCATATCAGACCAGACCAGACTTGACTTTCGTAGTTATAAAATACACAGAGACCAGATGTTTATCAGACCAGTCCAGACCTGTTCAGACTAGACTAGATCGGACCAGACCAGCAAATTTCAGTCCAAAAGAAAACATCCTTAAATGTCAATTATTTTATCAAACATGTAAGTTTTTGTTTCATACCTAAGTTGTGTGGAACCTGTTTGGCAATACTGAGATTGACTGATTCTGCTGAAATTATAGTTGAAACGGTTGAATTGATTGAATCTGTTGAGTTACGGAAAAACTATATAATATTGCTTAAAATATTTTTTTAATAAAATAAAGACATATATATATATATATATATATATATATATATATATATATATATATATATATATATATATATATGAAAATAGCTAAAGTGGACAAGTGGTTCTTTACAGTAACTTCGGTCAATCCAGCCACAAAACTACCTTCAATCTTACTTATTTTAATGGTAAAATTCACAAGAATAATCCGTACTTTTAGGGATTCTACAATAATAATCCCTACTGAGAGTGTCTACAAAAATAATCCGAACTAACAATATTGTTCATAAGAATAAATTGGGTGAATTCAAATTAATGTCTGTTTAATACTTTCAACACTTGCTCTCGTTTTCCTCTTCCCCAGGACGAAGAGTAACGAATGAGAAAGTGAAAGTAGAGGTTGGAAATATTAAATGAGCATTAATTTGAATTAATTTTGATTTATTTTTATGGACATTATTTCTAGTAAGGATTATATTTATAGATACTCTAAATATGGATTATTATCGTAGAATCCATAAAAGTATGGATTATTCTTGTGAATTTCACCTATTTTAATTATTACACAATTCGGCGCACGAAATCAAAAGTCGTATATTGACAAAATCAAAGATTGCACCTGCAAAATCAATTTAAATAGAGTAACTTACATTTGTATAACGGTTTTTTTTTAGAGAAAATTATCATGAGTATGACTAAAACTTCATGAGTTTCTCAATCTATGACATAACTAGTTTTATTCCCAAAATATTATTTTAAATTCTATTTTTTAATTAATTTCGTAAATAATAAATAAATAAATAAATTTCATGGACTAATATACCCTTTAGAATATGCTTATAAAACCCTAATCTTCTACTCATTTTCTCCGACCCTAATCTCTACTCTCCAGCCGCACACCCAATTCCCACGACCGCCGCACGGCCACCTGCCACGATGCCACCATAACCCACCATTGCATGGCCACCTGCCGCCACCGTCAAGCTGCCGGAGAGCCATGTGCGCCGTCATCGTCCCCAATCAACCGCTGCCTCCCAGGTGACGCCCTTCGTCCCCAACCTGCCGCCGTTGTCCCAAGCTCGATCTGCGCGCCGCCTTCCAGTCCCCATCCTTCGTCCCTAACCAGCGGCCGTCTCCTAGGTGCGCCCTCCGTCCCTCACCAGCCGCCGGTCATCTAAGTATCTAATTGTACCGGCGCACTACAACTCACCACCTTCATCCAGCCGCACAAAAATCTACTTCCATGGGTGAACTAGGGTCAATTGCGGAGTTGCAGAACACTTCCGTCGTAGATGAATATTCCCATTAAAATTTAGGTTTGGATATTTTCATGTGCGCAAACTGCTACTCTTTGGATCCGCTACAAGCATAGGCCCACAATTATTATTTTTTGCTTTTCTATTTTTGAAAGTTGAAGTTTGTAAAATTAGGTTTTGTGGGCATTAAATATGTGCAGTGAATATGGGCAATGGAATCATTATAGATATTATTGAGTATGACAATATATGTTGTGCATGACCGTGAATGAATGCATTAAGAAAATTGGAGTGCAGTGATTATGACCGATAGTGCAGTAACAAAGCAATAAGTTCGCCATGAAACGCAATATATTTAATTAGACGTAAAAAATTATTAAATCTAAAAAGTAAAAACAATAAATCATTTCGTAAAGTGAATGAGAAGAAAATCATTTTTGGTGGAAGTGTAGTGATTATTACCGGATAGATATGTAGTAATCTAGTGCAGTAATGTCATGCAATAATTTTGTGCAGTAATGTTTTGCAATAATTCTAATCAGACGAAATTAGTACAAAATGCACATATTTTAAACAAGGGTATTTTTGTCATTCAACATTTAAATAGATACGAATTTTTCTTTTTTTTTCATGATTTTCGGCCATACAAAAGTTCAAAAACTAGTTAAGTCATAGATTGAGAAACTCAGTGAGTTTTAGTCATATTCTAGTAAATTTCCCTTTTTTTTATCATCTTTGTATCGCGGTTTGCAAATTCCTTCAATAAGAGCAAAAGATATCTACATTCTTCATATAGGCATAGTGACTCTTATAATTAAGTTGGAATTTTATTATTTTTATTCTATCGTTAAGATTGCATATAGTAGTCGCTGTCTTTATTTTATTTTTAATAATTATTGTAAAGCTGATAATTTGAAATTGATAAATTGATGGCCTTGGTATCTTTGAATAAGTAGTCCTATTTCTGAACTTTGTAAATGTTTTACTCATATTTGAAGCAATTTATTTACCATATTAACCAATAACTTGTTGGAAAATGCATTAAATTGTCAATTTTGGGCAATATTTTGAGTGGGATCCCCTTCCGATTTGGGTTGGTTCAAAGTGGTTTCGGATTCCCCTTGTTAAGAGCTATAGTTCGATATATGGTACACTCAAAACGAACAATGGATGAATGCAAAATTGATTCTCAAAGTTCACTCGTTGAAATGGAGAAAACTAAGAAAACATGGGTTTCTAGTGTGATACTTCCCACACCGGAAAACCCAAGGGATTTTCATCCCCTAATAAAGGAAACCCTCTTTGAAAGAGTTAAGGTTCCTAGGTGGAAAGTCCCCCTTTGCGTGCAGGTTGGGTGTCGATCAAATCCCGAAAACAGAGAAGAAAAATCTCGACTTGCGTGCGCTGGCAACCTGCGGACACGAAAGTCGTCCGAAAATATATCTTCCAAAGATAAGACTTAATGTTTGTTCTTCCCGTAACATTCCTATTTTTTGCTCCAGGATTAGCCCGTTGGGAGGCTGCTGCTTGGCTGTTGAACGTTCAGCATGCTGAAGCTTTACAAAATTAAATGCCCTATGTTCTGCTACCTGTATGCAATTAAATGGACTGTTTTTTGGACGAATCAATGACGAATGTTCTAGACATTGATACCCAATGTTTAGGTTTTTTAATACGCCATTAACACACAACAAATCATTTCATATAAATAAGCTGGTAGGTGCTTTGCAACAATACATGAACATACACATTCATACACATTCTTCACGTAGTTTTCGAGCTCATAAACACCTCCAGTTTCCAGAAAAATCCTTTGTGTTCTTGTTTGGTTTCCGTTTGCCGGAACTGTCGTTTGTATGCTCAAACGATTGTTCGTTAGCCACCGTATTCTGGGAAACGATCGTTGCAACAATCCTGGCACCGTGGGAGGCAACAAATACATTTTAAGGACATTGTGCGTTGCATTTCTGCTCCACCTTGTTTCTGTTTTCTTCGACTATTTTGATCAATTTATTTAATTAATTTTCTTCATTTTTTTCGAGTTCACACCGACACAAATATACTATGTAATAGTATGGCCTTAGTATCTTTCGATGAATAGTACATTTACTATTTCTCTATTGGAGGATCCTATAAATGATACTACGAGTCTGTTCAAGGCGTGTAGAAATAAGGATCATGATTTGTGCTTTGTTTGATTTTTTTAATTCTACTTTTTTTTGTGGGGCTGGGGTTTTCTTTCATTTGTTTTCATAATCATTTTGTTGATATGACTTGAGTTTGACAATCCACTCTTGTAGAATGTACATGTATCTCGCTAGGGATCACTTGTAGCCATATATACACCAGGTATGATATTGTGAAAGTATTCTCGACATTAGAAACTTAATCTTCTCAATAAGGCTTGATCATTATGTGTGTCCAAAAGGGATGCAAGTTCATGGGAACAAGATGCATAGTCTCAAATTCTATGAGCATTGTGTAGGTGTTTGGGATACTTCATAGCACCAAGTTTTCAAAGAGAAGTGTTGATTGGACAAAGGGGTTGATGGATTATATGGACTCCGACCCCCCGGTATGCCGACTACTAGGCCTGGACAGCGGCCCACACACGTTTAGCGGATATCATTAATATTATTGTACATTATTATTATTATTCAGATGTTCTAGATTAGCTTTTTATACTATCAGTCCATTTATGTAACCGGGTCTGTCAGGCCCATATTAGAGGCCCAGACCCGGATTTTCCCTATATATGCTCCTTATAGGAGGCTTGTAACTCATATAACCAATACTCATTCTATACACATTTCCTTCTTCTTCATCATTTCTTCTTCACTCTTGTTCAATTTCTCCTGTTTATACAATATGGGTATCAATTATCCAACAATGGTGCTCTCGTTGGGAGTCCCCCACTCCCTGAGTCGAGAGTACTCGAGACGAAAGGGAGTAGTCCAAACTGTATCTGCAACGTTCTTCCTCTTCGGCCGGGGGACCACCACCCTTGTCCATTATGGGGAGGTGCCTCGTTAAAAACCTTTACTAGGAAAAACCCAGTGGGAAAAAATCCTAATAAAGGGAAAAAGAGTACACCTAGCGCCCCCAACATGAAACAAGGAAGGTAAATCCCCTCCGGCATAATCAATCTAGCTCAACCCCTCTTCAACTGACTCAGCTCTCGTTCCTGCTCTTGCGTGATATTTTCTGCTCATCTAGAAACTCTGACCCCTCAGGCCCCCAGTCCCCACTCTTTGAGGCGAGTGGAGACGAGGTGAAAATGAGTAAGGTCATCTTCGTACCTACACATTTATCATACATATAAAAAAAATTCTTGGGATTTATGTTCCCGATCGGGAGTTCGTCACTTGAAACAAGTGGAGATGTGAATTGTTAATGTAATGATAAAATACTTAGTAGAATGGATGTGTGAGCCATTCGTAAGCAACGGTCGCCACTCGAGGAATGACTAAGACCGGTCTTCGTACCCGACTTGGTCGGGGTTTTGTCTTCATGCCCGACTTGGTCGGGGCTTTGTGCCTGAGGAGACATGACTTTGTGCCTGAGGAGTCAGGGCTTTAAATCCTAGTGATGGGTCTCAAGCCACACTCTACTAGGTATTTGATCATAAGTGCGTGATAGTGTGATGCTCGCCCGAAAAAAAAATTGATTTAAATAAATATAAATAATATGAAAATTAAAGAGTACTTATCTTTTAAAAGTGGACTGAATATGTTGCAAGAACCACGGCCCACCGTTTTTTTTAGACTGGTTCTGGACTAAATGTTATCTGCTGGCCCACATACTTTAACAGAAGCTAGATGTTTGCTCCGTATTTTCTCAGCCAGCCATCATGAGAAGAGTTAAGTCCATCCACGTATGGATTCTTTAGACCACATATCACAAATGTGAATTAATTTAGTGGGTCAACTAAAATCCATACACCAAACCCTTTTCTGACTTCTGCGAACGAGATAGGCAAGCCAAAATTTGAGAGGAGATAACTCTGCCACTGCCGCCGGAGGAGGAAACCCATCATCGTCGTTGCGTAGGTGGTCCATAGAACTTTCCTCGTCAGCCAGTACTGTATCTTGTTGTCGGCTCGGCGAGCAAACCAGACAGATCCGACGGCGGAGCAACCGAGAGCGTGGTGAGCGGCGTTGTAATGAAGATGGCGGAGCTTGTTGTTTTGTTCGTCGTGCGTCAACCGCAACTTTGCTGCCGGTCGTTGGGTCGGTCCAGACCTTGACGGAAAACCGCAGGTCCGTCGGTGCTCCAGGCTGCTGGCTTGCAGTGAGCTTCGCGGCTATGGCGGCTAAAATCCGGAGCGATGGGTGTGCTGGACCAAGGCGACGAGGACGAGACCTAGAATGGCACGGCGAACTTCGGCTCGTACAACCAGCTTCTGCAGATATGGCGTACGGTGGTGGTTGACGGCGGGCGACGATGCAGATCTCAAATTTTCAGATTTTCTTCGTTTTTTCCATTTTCCAGAACACTTTTTGGCTAGAACGATCTTTTTTGTGATTCGAATGAATTTTTTGGGTAATTTGGGGAGGTTTTCTCACTTGATTGTGTTCAACCTCTCAACGAGAGCACCATATGATGGATAATCTACCCGGGGGGTACCTTATCCGAGGGGTTATTGCGGAAATAACTTAGAGAGAAGTCAGAGCAAATAGGAGGAGAGAGAGTCGATTTATTAAATGAACTCGAGATCTGGAGTTGTGTGTCGATGATCATTTACAAGGAGAAATGAGCTGCTATTTATAGCAGCAATAAATGCGATGAGAGGACACGTGTCAGTAATCCAACGGCCGAAGGGTCACATCAGCCGGTTGGCACCGGCAGTGGCACGTCCACCGCATTGATTGCGGTTGGCGGATGTGACGTGGCATTAAATGCGGTGGTTGGCTGTCGCTAAAAGGAATCTTCGATAATTGAACATGTTTGGCCGAAGGCTCCTCGTGTAGCCGAGGGCTCCATGTAACCGAGGGTTCCATGTGGCAAGGACCCTTGTGTGGCCGAAGGCCCCATGTGGCCGAAGGCTTGGTTCAGCCGAAGGCTTCTCTGATGCCGAGGGCATGACAATGCCGAAGGCTCATGTTTTCGCCCTGTTTTCTCCCAGCAGCTTCTTATGCCAAAAAGGCTATCCTGTGAGTTCTGGAGCCTCCGGCCAAGGAGGCCGAAGGCATCCCAGTGTGTATTCTGAGCTACTTTGAGGCTTGGGCCGTTGTATTTGGGCCTGAGTTGTTTCCTGGGCTCAATGGACTTGTGTAGGAGAAGTAGGAGTCTATGGGCCGGGGGTTCCTGGACCATATACTCCATCAGGGGTACTTGATTATATTCTTTCTAAGTGTTGTTTACATGCATTGAATCCATTGGATGTCACATGTATTTTATATCCATCATTCATGAATACTCAAGAATGACTTGGGTAATCGTGATTAACTGATTAAGCATAAAACGAAGATTCATAAAACTCTGAAGAAAATAAAAGTGTTACGAATTGATAACTATTTGGAGTTTTATTCATCTGGGTTCAATGAGGTCTCTAAGGATGAAGCAATTGCTCGTCATCACACCATTGAAGATACAATACAGTATAATGGAGTGGCAGAATGCATAAGACATAGTTCGAGGGATTGATGTGCATGCTCTTCAATGATGGTTTAGCAAGAAGATTTTGGACATAAGTAATAAGCATGATTACGTGCTACTTGATTAATCGTGGGCCTGGTCGAGACTACTCTTTGTTGAGAGTTTTTTGTTGTATTGTTTCCTAATAGGATAAATTTGAGCCAATATATAAAAGGTGTTACTTCTTTATTTTGAAAATAGAGTTAGAGATATAGAATCTGGTCACCTTGAGAGAAAAAAAATATTCACTAGACTTTGATGAAAACTCTATATTTTGCTCAAGATAGTGGTAATGCTAATAAACATGTGAAATTGCAAGTTACAATAGATGGGCTAAATCGTGGTATAAGGGTGATGGAGATCATAATATCTGCAACACCTTGAAATCCGTCTAGCTTGAACTATGTCTAATTTGAGAATATTTTGAACATAAATTAACATCTTTTTTTTTGTCTTGGTAGGCAAACCACTCATTGGTGGGGCAAATGTCGGGGAACAGTTGCCATGTTTTATAAAAATAAGAATAATACAAACAAAGAGGGGGGTTAGGCCAAAACCTCTCTAAAAGAGGTATACCTCTTCCAAACAACGGGAAAAAGTAAATGGAAATGGGGGGGGGGACTAGACCTAACCCAATTAAAACAACAGATACAAAATACAATTAAAACAAATCACATAAACAAACATCAATTAATAAGGCGAAAACATAAAACAAATTAGGCAACCCTAATGTTCGGACATCCAACAAAGTCCAGATGAGAAGCTCCTTGGATCTGCAAAGGAGGCTGATCTGGTCGATGGAAGAGGGTCGGAGTACGAAAGGTACCATAAGCCTGTGCGAAAGATGGGCGACCACATCCGCCTCTCTGTAATTGTGAACCAACGATAAGCCTCTCTCCCTTGTCTGAGAATCAAAATGGCAGTAAGAGAATCAGATTCAATTTCCACATCTGAGAACCCCGACTTCAACAACCATTGAGCAACAACAGATCTAGCAGCAAGTTCAGCTTCAAGAATCGATCGTGCTTCCTGAGGGAAAGAACTGACGAATATAAAATTTCCTTCTTTGTCTCTCAAAATGGCACCACCGGTAGAGGAGTTTTTGGAAAAGGCATCATCTACATTCATCTTAAAGGTACTTTTCGGTTTCTTCTAATTAATCTTAAGAAATTTAGGGATGTGTTTCCTCTTATTCATTGGAAATAGACCTTCTTGAATTAGGAACTTCGGAGTATCTAATACGTTAGCAAAAGTAATTCCGGCAGATCAGTGACAAATAAATGTGTTAATAACCTTCTTGATAGATTGGGGGTCAAAACTAGAATAGTATCACAACTTTAAAATAACATCTTCTTCTCTATTAGTTAATTGTATATTTATGTTACCATAAATAAACAACAAAAACAATTGGCTCAAATTATAAGAAATAAAAATGAATGAAACCTTTAGTTAGAGGTCAGGAATTTGAATAGAAATAATTACATGAATATGACCAAAATAAAGATGGTTTACAAAAATATGACTAGTTACTAGAGTAGTAATGAAATCATAGTAATTAATGTTCAAATTTTCAACTCAAGTTACTACAACATCACGTTTTAGTAATGAATAGTCATATTTATGTAAATAAGTTTTATTTTAGTAATATTCTTGTAAAAAACTCATTTGAATATTCTCTTGAGCATGTTTTTTTGTTTCTCTTAGAAATAATCCAATATTTCCAATATAAGCTTTAGAGTTGATAAACTTCTCATATTCAACCAATAAATTTGAATAAACATCACTTTTATAAAGGGAGTGATTGCCTTCCTTTCTTTACTTCCCCACAACTCTCATTCCTCTTTATAACTCGTCTCTTCTTTAAGCTCCTGCCTTTGAATTCGTACATCATCTCTCAGAGACCTATGAGGCTATGATATATATGATTTCTAGTACTCAGTCAACAGTTTTATTGTTTGCTATGTAAGTGTTTATGAATTTATCTTTGAGATTTCCATGATAAATATCATTTAAGAGTTATATTATGTTAACTCAGTTGCTGAATAAATTCAGTTTTGAAGATTGTACGAATTATTTGAGTGAGTAGGATTGATTAATCGATTGATAGAGCATTTGAGATAGCAGATTTATCATTGTTTATTGTTTTCTTGCTCATTGGAGCCTTCTGCTTCTCACTCTCATAGTATTCATACAGATACTCACTCACTCTCGGCTTTGTTTCTTGGGTAGGCTTAGTTGGGTTTACTAAGTCATTGAGTGTCAATCTCCCATTTCTTTCTCTCCCTCTCTCTCTCCCTCTCTCTCTCTCTCTCTCTCTCTCTCTCTCTCTCCCTCTCTCTCCCTCTCTCTCCCTCTCTCTCTCTCTCTCTCTCTCTCTCTCTCTCTCTCTCTCTCTCCCCTCCTGTATGTTTTGTTTATGTTGTATCACATAACTCCTGCTTACTTAGTGACAACATAAATCCAAAGGAACACCATTTTTGGCAAACAAAGGAACACAATTATGAATAAAACATTGACAATCAAAATGTTTAATCATCAATGTGTAATACCGTAAATATCAAATATATAAAACTGAAAGTGATCAAGTAACATATATCCTTAAAAAGTGATTGTCGCTAGGACATACATACTAAAACCATGCACATATACATAAGTTATTCCTGTTAGTGAATGTATTCAATGTGACATGAAATGAAGTCACTTGACAATATTCAGACTTGGGAGGCCATTAAACGATATAAAGAGGACATAATAACTTGTAAATGAGTCTTCCAGAAAAAGAAAGGAGTCATACATGATAAAGACATTAAGTATGAAACTCGACTGTTGCAAGAGAGTTCAAGTAGAAAAAGAGATTGACCATAATGGTATTTTCTCACCATTGGTTAAACACACTCCACCAAGGTGTTACCAACAATAGTTGTAATTCCAAATTTATAACTTCAGCAAGTAGATGTAAAAATGTCTCATGAACTTAGGCAAATTAAAAGAATAAAAACAAACTTAAAGTTTGAAACGGCCTACAAATAGTAAAAATTCATACGTTAGTGAAGACAGTATAGCATGTGTGCATTTTTAAACTCCAAAATTATAGAAGTGCTATTTCTCAAGCGTTAGTAGACGTTCCTTCACATGCACACATCACTTGTGCACATTCACCATTTTAATGGAATCACTTAAATGCTAGGTGCATTAAATGCACGTACACGTGTAAGCTAGATTATGGCGAAGAGTCCCCGGTGGTGCTGGTGCTGGCACGTGACACAACATTAAATGCGGTGGTTGGACTCTGGACAGAGAAGAGCTTCTGTCGAGATTGAGGGCCTTCGATAATGGGGTCGAGGGCTATATGACCGAAGGCTGGTGTGATGAGGTAACATTTCCAGACGTGTTGTTGGGCCAAAACGGGGTGACGTCCCTGAGTTTGAAGCCTTCGGCCCTGGTGTCGAAGGCAGTCCCGTGTAGGAGGTGGGTTGCATCGTACTTGGGCTGCTGTATCTGGGCCGCCTGTGTTCGTTGGGCCTATTTGAGGTAGCAAGAGTATGTGGGCCGGGGTTCCCAGTTATATACTCCATCAAGAGTCCCCTACTAGATCTACAATACTGCTGGACTGTTCCCCTTCCGAATCGCCGTCATGAAGTGCATAAGAGTATAGAGTTTGGAAGCAACATTTTTTCATGATCAAATTGTTTAATTTTCTGTTTATTACTTTCATTATTATAAGACTATTATGCCTATTGTAGGATCAACAGTCATATTATTTTTTTAAGGTGACTTGTTTTGAAGGATCAACAAGTCATGATTTGAAAGCG